AGAACTGACCCCAAGTTAACTTTTTTTTTTTTAAGAATTATTTTACTTAACTTTATTTATTTAAATTTGACCAGAGAGGGACAGAGAGCAAGAGGGTGAGAAAGCAAGTTGCCAGGTCCAGGACTTGAACCGTGATCGGCCACGGGGGAGTCCAGTGCCCTTAACCACCGTGCCACCTGCCGGCCCCCTAAGTTAACTCTGAGGTTGGGTTATGAGAGACCATTTTTTAATAATGTTCTCAGGCATAAATACCCAAAACAAGGTAAAAACGCTAGCATGTGGTCAGATCAGATTCCAAGCCCTGGCTCTCCACCTAGTCTTCTGGACAGATCAGAGAGGCTTTCCTGGGGTCAAACTACCTGGACTCCACGCAGTCCGCCACGGTTCATGTTCCAGGCCCAGAGGCTTCACTCACGCCAGGCACGTGTGCATGCCCCAAATCCCAGGGGAACAGAGAAGGGGTTGCAGTGTGCCATCTCCCTTGGGTGGGGGGTGATTTCTGTCTTTCTCGGTCTCTCAGGTGAGTGCACGAACCCTACAGCAAAAATCTCTCTAAAAAAAATCTGTGTACAAAAAAAAAAATCTACCAGTGCAGCAGGCACGCCCTGAACCCCTGCTGGCAGGGCCTTGGAATTCCGTGTTCCCGGACCTCAGGGCCAGCCCCTGCGCATGGTGGTTAAGGAGCCGGCTCACACAGGGCCAGCCTGGGCAGGAATCCGGGCCGGCGGCTGGAGCCCCAATCCCCACGCGCAGGGCGGTGGAGACGCTCCGCGGGGCACCAGGCCCCACCGCAGGGCTGCCTCCCTCTCCGCTGTCCCGGGAGAGCCACATGCCCCAGGCAAAGCGAAAGCACCAGCTGCCAACCGCGACCTCCCGCTTCCGCTGCAAACCCACAGGAGGTGAGCCTGGAGCACCTGCCCTCCGGTCGGGCTAGCGTGGGCGCAGTCGCGCGAGCGCACACTCGCACGCACACTCGTGCACGCACACACTCGGCTCGCGCACGCGCACTTGTCCGCCCTCCGCGGCGGCCGGGCCCCCCCGCCCCACGTGCTT